GGGTCTGGAGGTGACTTTCGCGGTCCGGGTCTGGAGGTGATTATCGCGGTCCGGGTCTGGAGGTGACTTTCGTGGCCCCGGTCTGCAGGTGGTTATCGTAGTCCAGGTGGGAAGTGGTGGTATCTTAAATGCATTTCTTTAAAGACTGTTTTACATCACTTGTTCTTCTCAAATTCTCTATAATACCACTTTTCCTCTTATTCTCAGCAGAGAGCCTTACTTCTCTAACACAGAAAATTAAAGCCACTGGGTGATGACCACCTCAACTATTTATCTTCCTCATGCCTTAAAATAAATTTTCACCTGTATTCCAACCCAGTCTGAATGGGAAAGGCGTCTTCCTAATCCTTTCCGCTTCCCATGGACGCCGTTTCCTTCACCCCCTCGAACTCATTCCATTTGTTCCCTCCACTTTTCTGAATCAATCATTCCTTCACTACAGTCTCTTTCTTATCCTCAGGAAAATACTTTCAAATGTCTCTTACTGTTGAAAGAAACAATCTCTGTTCTAATCTGTGGTTCTTAATTTTTGCTACACAAGAAGTTCTAAAAATCTGATTGTCCAAACAGTACCCCAAGCCCATCACATCAAAATGTCTGAGAGTAGCATTCAGGTGTCAGTATGTTTGAAACCCACCCAGGTGATTCCAACGTGCAGCCAAATTTGGAAACCACTTCAGTAATTCCATCTCCCTCTTTGACTCTTTCTCTTAATAGTTGAGTTTCTTGAAAGATTTGTCCATGCATGTTGTCTTTATTTTGTCACCTGTCACTTACTTCAACTTCCATGCCACAGCCAATGAAATTACCATTGCTATGTTCACTGAAGATCTGTTTGTGCTATATTTATTGATATTTTTTCTCCTTAAAAGATCCTCTTTCCTTTTATGATTTCTTTGAATTCAAATTCTTGATTTGGGAGAATGATGATGTGTGCTTTTTACATTACTCTGAGTTTAAAGTGCCTTTGAGGCAATAAAGGAGACACATCCAGAAAGCAGCTTGATAGGAGGTTCTAGAGTTTAGCAGGGAGCTAAAGATTTAGGTGTCTTTAGCAGTACTGTGGCTTGAGTTCCATGTATATAGCCTTAGGACCTAAAGCTTCAGGACTAAAGCTATTTGATTTCTAAATCCTTAACTGTACACTGAGCTCCCAAACCAGCTTTACTTTCTACCTTCCCTATCCCAGTGGACCCACTGTTTATCCAGTTATCCAGCACAGAAATTTTGTCACCCTTTTCTCCTCCATCTTTCTCACCCCACACATCTCATCATCACCAGGCTCTAAGACTTAAGCCCCTGAGCATTTACATTGCCCAGTCTGTCCGTCCTACTGCTACCCATATCTCATCCTTGGATGGTTCCTGTAGCCCCTGTGGTGTCCTTGCCTGCAGTCTCACCTCCTTCCTATCTGTTCTCCAAACCGCCACTGGGACGATCTTTCTCAACATGTCAGGCTCTTGCTTTGAAATCCTTTCACATCTCCCTGCAACCTTGGATAAAATTTAGAATCCTTTATCACAGCATGAAGACTCTACAATATTCTTCCTCTCTTTGGCTCTCAAGTCTTATGTTCCTTCATTTTTCTTCTTTGCACCCTCACCACACTGACCTACTTGTACTTCCCCAAGCATGCACGTATGCCTATCTTCCATACTGTTTTCTTCAGTG